TTTCTCTCTTCCTCATATTCATCCTGGGAGTTGCGGATGAGATCCCGGTATGCTGCTAGACAATCATCATAACGCTCCAACCTGTACAACTGAGAAAAAAGGGATTAGCCTGCAGAACAGTATTGCCCTGTGTATGCCAGTAACTACAGCCTCCTCCTTCTCCATGGACTGGCAGTAGCAGAGTATCATATGTTTTAGGCTCAACATTACTAATATTCACATCTATCCTTAAGGGCAAGCTCTGAGGATTATTTTGCCGGGCCTTGAGCAATGGCAGCAGATACCTGCACACATACTGCACAGGTTTTTTTCTCCTAAAAGAGCTCCTTTTAAAGGAAGCAGCTTACACAGTTTTGTTCTCAGTCAGGCTTTCTCCCGATTAGAACATCTCTTCCTGAGGCAGGTTAAACAAACAGCCTTCCAAGCTGTTGAGAGGACAGCCAATTCTTCAAAGAAACTGTTTTGCTCAACCAGAGAGAAACCATCAGGTGCCACAGACCTTCCATGGACAAGTATCTGATGCAAGCAGAGGGCTCGACCACAAACAAATCCAGTCAGCCCTCTTCTATCCCCTATCCCCTCGGTTTCTAAAACTACATCAGGCCAGACCTGGGAAGAGAGAGGAAGTCATGAATGTACTGCTTTGGTTTAGTGGCCGTAAGGGAATGACTCTTCCCTCAGCAGCAGGTAACTGAGGTTCACACAAGCTGGAGCAGTTGGGGACTGTACACCTCCTAGCCTTCAGGACAGGGGAGGAAATCCTGCCCCATACTTGCCCCACATTAGAGCACGGACAGAACATCCAGCAGTGAAACTGCCACTGGGAAGAGAAACTTGTAATTACCACTTGTCCGTAAAGTTCCTTCAGTTTGTCTGTCTGCTGGCTGGCACTCTGAATGGTCTTCAGGGCGTTTTCAATGCGATTCAACCTGTATTCGCAGTAGGCCTTCTCAAAGGCAATAATGTCACTGGAAGGACAACACAAAGGCTGAAAACAGGCACGTGGAGTCTTCATTCAGCAGCATTCACCCACTTGAACATGCTTGTCTGAGCTGTCCTAATGAGTTACAGACTGCTACGTTCCCAGAGGGCCCAGACACCCAGAATACTGAATTATCTGTTGAGCACTGACAATATCTTATGTTTGGTTTGTTTCCAACAGAGAAGAAATATCAGAACTCCAGCTTAAGGAGGAGGTTCCTTTTCCTGGTCTCTCTAGACATCTGGCATTTTAAATCTGCTCTTTACACAGGCAAAAACTTCCCAGACCTTCTACTGATGATAATGTGACTCAAATGCTTAAAGGTAAAACAACAGCAAACTTCATTGCACGACTCCTTCAGGAGGAGGCATATGGCTACAACAAAAGGTTGTTACTGCAAACTTTCAAATACACATAATCATGTCCCACAGAGAGTGAAAGAAGCTAGGATAAAACATCTGATCTGATAGTTTGATATTAAGCTAAAGGCAATACTGACCTATTTTGAAATATCAGCATGGTAGAACTGAAGCAAAAGGATTTGCTGACATAAAAATGAAATCGGTTTCAAAGCCAAATTCACACCATCAGAGAAGTGCTATCAGTCAAGCAGAGTCCTGCAAATTATGTTCCAGCTGAGCTACTGCTTGAGCCAAAGGAAGAGTAATCAATCACTAGTGCCAAGAATACAGTAACAGCCATTATCTGTCTATTTAAAATGTTCTCAGCAGAGCTGAGTGGAGGGCTTGAGGGGGTGTCTGAGAACAAATAAATAGCACTAAGAATTAAAACAAAGGAGGGAGCAGGCCTTAGTGCAAGACAGGGAAAACTGCAAGAGCCACAACTTGTCCTGCTCTGCAGGACAGAGAGTGGGAGAGACAAGATAAAGGAATCATAGGGAGAATTCTGAAGCCAGTTGAACTTACAGAAATTACTACTCCTTCACTACACACATTCACACACTTGATTTAAACCCCTTCCAACTCATGAAAGAAGAAATTTGTGAATAAACTAACTGCTTTCTATTTATAATCCCAGATGTGAACATTAGCAAGGAAGCGTTTCATTGCTCTAATACTACAATGCATTTTTCTTGGTTTTCTGTTCTTTAACAAGAACGCAAATCCTGGACACGTGAAACGCAAAAATTTTGCTGCCGTGCAGTTACTGGGTAGTAATTTCCATCCTAGTCATTGCACAAAGAAGATCACTAATAGGAAGACAATTATAGAGTCTGCTTAAAGACGCAACTGGGAACGCTGAAGCTCGATTTGCTCTCAAACCTGAGTGGTCTCCAAGGTCCTGATCTTGTAAACATGCACACTGGACCACACCATCCCAAAAGCTGAACTAATACCCTCAGCCTGGAAAGAAAAGGATCCTAGAAGCAGTCAGAGGAAACCGCCAAGCAAAAATGAAAAGCTCACTGCCACTGACAAGGGCTTCTCCCTCCTCTCTTCACCTCCTCCCGTGAGATCTCTCCTCCTCTTTTGTATAGCCCTGGGGTTCACCCAGGTTGACAAGCAAAATCAGGTCATGGAAGTGGCTGAAAATTAGATTAGGGACATTCCCTACAACAGTAACAGGAAGCTGTCAGAGAGGCTCAAACTGACCCAGATCATCTCTCTTGCACCCAAAAGAATTCAGTGTCTTTCTGGAAACCCCAATTCCGCTGGCTCAGAGCACCTCATACTCTTGATATTGCTGGTCATTAGTCCTCTCTAGCCTCTCAGGGACTCACAGTTTTGGTTTTTTTGTTTTGTTTTGTTTTTGCAGAGTGCCGCAAGACACAACTCACCTGGTTAATACTTTGGTGTGGGTGTTGATTACGCTGAGGGCTTCCTTGAAGCTCCCATTCTGGATAAGACACACCACTTTACATTGAAGCGCAGTCACATCATCTTTGCTGATCTGCAGTACTGGAGGGGAAACCAGTTTCAACACAACACGCTACCTCATTATCTGACACAAAAACTTGTTAGCATTGTTCAAATTGGAGAAACCCAGAGACAGCAGTCACATCAATTTAAAAGGGTCCTAGTCTGGCTTGCTTCAGTTCAGAACGTGAAATGAACCCTGCCAATATAGAAGAGCACAGTATGAACGGTGAACTTACCCTAAGTGACCACTGCGCTAAAACACCTGGAGCAGAGCAACACCTGAAGAGTTTTGCACACCTGGACAAACTTTTCATTGGCATTTCACTGCCAGTCAGAAAACAGGGTGCCAAACCTGTCTCAGCTCCATGTAAAGCATATCCTAGAAGAAGATGGCCACTGCACCCAACGTAGTGGAACAGTACAGACCTGGACAGGTATTCATTTTACAGGCTAATACCTTGCTGCCAAAAGAAGACCATGAGGAAGGAGGTGGGAAGTTAAACAGGTTTTGGTATTTGATTTTTTATACGATTCCAACTCTCAGATCTGTCAGGACAGTCAATCGGTCCCTATTCCCAGGAAGCATCAAAACCAAAGCTTTTAGCCATCAGGAGTCTCTTATTGCCACACCGCTTTGGATGCCAAACCGCCAAAACAACACATCTCAACTGGAATGCTTGCCACCTAAGCGAGCCAGATGTCATTCAGCTCCATACGCAGACCAAGACACCATTCAGGGCAAAAAGAAAACCCTGCTTCCTCCCACGATCTAAACGGGGGAAAAAAAACCCCAGGCACGACTCCGGGCGAGGACCACATGGCACCACATAGGCACCTTCAGGCCCTGACGCAGGAGCAGGGCCTGCGCGGCCACCCGCCTCGGCCCCCGCTCCTTTGGCTCCTTTTCCTCCGGCCTCTCCTCCAGCGCGGCCAAGCCCCCAGCTCCACCGGCAGGGACCGGGGGCCCGGGGCC